TATATATAAATATATATACATATAAGTACTCCATGAAAGTCGAACGCTCGAGAGAAGTTTTCAGCTTTATTATTACGTTGAAATGTAGGAGAGCCAATTAGTTTGGCGACCGGACACAAATTGGGTTAAATATCGAATGTAAACCAATCCAGTTCACTTCAATCCCATCGACTCCCGGAGCGAAGTGTCATATTTTTGCATATTAAAGTCGGTCTTTAAATGCAATTTATTAAAATTTAATTTTGTATTAAGTGGATTGCTGCAATGGGTCTACAGCTCGTCGTGTCAAAGATTAAATTTCGCGTAAACAATTTCATACAGTTCGAGTGGCTGACGAGAGGCCGCCATGAGTGAATGCACTCGACAAACAGCAACTGTCATAACAATAAAAAAAAATAAATAAATAAAAATAAAAATAAAAACACTTGCGGTCCCAATTAAATGAGCAGCTAATAAGTTGTTTTAACGAGAGAATACACCATTATTTATTTCAACTATTTTTTTTATACATATGGCAAACAGACAGACAGCTCTTATCAGAGCTCCACTGTAAGCTACCTTAATTGATAAAGCTAAAATGAGCACAGTTATCGATTTTCTGAAACAGACTCGATCTTTGCGTTCTATACAGGGACTTACCAGCAAGATTTCTAGTCTCTAGCTTTTATAAGCTCTGAGATCCACGCGCTCCCACATATGAGCGGATAATCAACTTTCGCTTAATCGACTCAAATCATCGCGCTGATCTAGAATATATATAAATGATACCCTCTGCCATGCCTTCTTCTGGCTGTTACAAACATTTAAACAAACCCATTAAATTTTGAATTCCCCTTTTGCAATGGGTTAAAGGTGTAAATAGTGATTTTAATATTTTCCCCAGCATTTTAGTTGCTTTTATGCATAAATGTATTTGAGCTGCATTAAATGTGGTTTTATTAGCTACAATATATATTCCTAGGATATGGCATCGCGCAGTTATTGTTTGAGATGGTCAGCTCATAAATAAAAGATCTGACAGCCACATCATTTCATTCGGCTCATAACGGACTCAGTCTTTTCTTCCCCTTTTTTTTTTTTTAATATCGCAAATCAACAGCAGAGCCAAAAGGCGAAATTGCTTTGACTCAAAGCAATCAAAATGGGGGGCAGGTCGACTTAAAATGCAAGCTCCATCCATAACTGTATATGGCTGCATGACTCTATGGCTGCCTGGCTCAATTTTCGCCCCAGTATCTTTCATCAACAACATCTGGTGCGATGCTTCGCTGTGTGGACTCGACATTATTTGTGCCTTTGCTTTATATTTGGTTCACTTTGGCGTTGCGTTATATTCAATTTCTATGCAGCGCATCCTGTCAATTTTTCAACTAATTTTTATTGCACTCATCTCTCTCACTCACTCGCACATTTCTACCCACTCTTACTGTCTCTTTCTCTCTCTTTCTGTAGCGCAACCTCTCGAATCAAAGTCATGTCGTGCTGCAGTCGGTGCCGCTGAATATTTCGGGCAAATTTACATGCGAAATATCTGTGGAGGCGCCCACATTTCAAACAGCTATGGTCTCCGGCGAAATGGAGGTGGTGGGTAAGTAAAATGAAAAAAAATCCCAAAAAAAGAAATAGTAGAGAAAGTAGTAAAAAATTCCAATAAAAATACTATCAGCACCTAGCGCAAATGGCAAAGGCAGCCCAGCCTTGCCCCGGTCTTGCCTTACTGCGATACCGAAAGCAAATTAATTAGACAAATGGGCGCCAGCCTTTGCCATTTTTTTGCGTTTTTGCGAGCTGGTCAGCTAATTTTACATTTCCATTATGCAGCCTACAGCTAATTCCATCTCTTTTACTCTCCCTCTCTCCATCTTTCTCCCTCACTCTCTCACTCTGTCTGTACGGCAGAGTTACCGGAAGAGCACACAGTGGTTACCGGCATACAGGCACGTTATCGCATTGGCGATTTGGTCGACGGCAATTGCTCAATTAAATACTCGAAACCGGCTGCTAATTTGACATGGACTATTAATGGTATTGTGGTAAGTTTTGGTTTCGGTTTCCATTTCCATTCCCATTTCCATTGCCATTGCCATTGCCATTGCGATCCGCCATTCAATTAGTGAACGGAGTGGAGTCAACTGTCTGCGCGTGTGTGTGTGTGCGCTTCGAGGCAATTTCCAATTGATAGCCCCGCAATTTTTCAATTAGTCGCCAGTGCAGCCAATTCGGCTAAAAGTTTCCTTTTCAGCACTTAGTTTACACTTCAATTGCCCAATTGTTGGCCGGAAAAGTGGCAAATTTAAGAGATCTTTGTCGAGCATTTCGGATTGAAGGCACTTTGGCAAGAGAAGCGATTTTGAAATGAAGTAATTGGAAGATGATGTTATGCCTATATGACTATAGGACTATATGCCTTTAAATATGAAAAATGAAAAAAAAAAAAAAATTTTTTTTTTTTAATAACAACTCATGAATTATTGGTCAAATAAATCATTTTTGTATTTAACTAAAAAAAAAAATACGTCTAAAAATATTCTGTCTGCATAAAACTAAAAAGTTTAATTGTTTTTAATTGAAACTCACTAATAAGTGAAAAGAGCATATTAATTTTTTTATATGTCCATTCGTCTGTATGTAGATTTACTATAAATTATTCAAGGTTTTTCCATTTTCTTCTGTATTAATTCTTCCAGCTCTTTTCTATTTATTTATTTTTATTATTGTGTATATTAATTTAATTAAATCTTCTTTTTCTTTTTTTTTTTTTTTTTTTTTTTTGTTATCTATGTTTAGCTCTTTTATATATTACTGTTCTATACATTTTCGAATGTAATTTTTCAGTTTATATAGAACATTAAATTTAGAGCAACTTAACTAACTGCACTTCAAAGATTCCATAGAAGCAAAAATTATACATCTAAAAAGTATAAAAATATATATAGAAAGATGTTCTCCATGTATCCTCACGCACATTCCTTGCTGTGTCATAGTATTAAGATGTCTGATTCAACAGTGCCTCACTTGTTGACTTTGCGGTCTCAGTGCCCTCAGGTTTATATTCCCCTGCAGCCAATTTAGTGGGCAGCTTCAACTCTTGATTGTGTGTGAGCCCATAGGCTCTTAGAGTATAAATGAAATAGTCATATTCGTACATTTCGTTGGGCTTGACGTAGTGAAAGGATATTGCTGTATTTGCGACACAGCTGAAACACTAAATAATACTCCAATTAGATGTTTTGGACAGAATGTCACACACTTACGTCTGTCGTATTATAGAATGCATAATTCCAGTACCAAAATGTTTTATTGTCTGGTGGATGTAAATGAAACGAGGGATACAGTGGATACATGCGACCGTTTCCATTGGCATCGCGTGAATCGCCAGCTGTTACATTCAGATTCTGCATGCATAGTCCAATCATGAGATCCTCAGATCCGTCAGGGCCGGACTTGCAAATCTTAGGATTGGACAGGCCCTCGACCACAAATCGGCGCAAGGCCTCGCGGCTCAGGATGTACCCAGCACCGCCCGACATGAAGCCCTGCTTGAAGTACTTTTTGAACTTGCAGCCAAAATAGACGGGCGTCTCGGAATTATATCGATAGAGCATATATCGCATGTTTTCGATCACCGCAAACGTGTCATCGTCCGCCTTGAAGAACCAATCGGAATCGTTATAGTAATTATTGTAGACATACTTGAAGGCGCTCTTTGTCTTCATCCAGAGATAGTTTCGCCCCTCAGTCAAATTCAATTTTACTGTCGGCAGCTCATCATCCAATTGAGAGCTCATGAACAGCAGAATATTACAACGCTTGCCCCAGGTGCGCTTGACGTGCAGTGCCCTCAGCTTGTGATTACCTGGATGGGTCATTACCCAGCACAGCACGCGCACCTCTTTCTTCAGCTGTTCCGCTAGCGACGGTTGCTCCATTGGCCTTTCTGCCCTATAGGAGAGGATCTCTGTAATAATATATCCCGCGATTGTGCCCACAATGAGAGCCCAAAGCAGACGAGCTTCGTAGATGCTGTTTCTCGACATCTCACATACAACTGAGACTTTTTTCCCTCTCTTGCTACTCAAATGTCTCACCAAAATATATCGCTTTAACAACCGTGTCAAATGGCATTTAAATAAACTCTGCAACATATTTAAGATTAGCTGAATTATTATTGCAATATTTTGCATATTATTTTTACTAATTTTGTTTTTCTATTAATATTTTCTATTCTATATTTTA